CCAGAGGACAGGATCACACTTCAAAACGACCTTGACAGATTAGAGAACTGGGCCAAAACAAACAAGATGAACTTTAACAGGGAGAAATGTAAAGTATTGCACTTGGGCAAAAAATGAGAGGCACAAATACAAGATGGGTGACACCTGGCTTGAGAGCAGTCCATGTGAAAAGGATCTAGGAGTCTTGGTTGACCACAAACTTGACATGAGCCAACAGTGTGACGCGGCAGCTAAAAAGCCAATGCAATTCTGGGCTGCATCAATAGGAGTATAGCATCTAGATCAAGGGAAATAATAGTGCCACTGTATTCTGCTCTGGTCAGACCTCACCTGGAGTACTGTGTCCAGTTCTGGGCACCACAGTTCAAGAAGGACACTGACAAACTGGAACGTGTCCAGAGGAGGGCAACCATAGAATCATAGAATCATAGAGTTGGAAGAGACCACAAGGGCCATCGAGTCCAATCTTCAGAATGGTCAAAGGCCTGGAAACGATGCCTTATGAGGAACGGCTAAGGGAGCTGGGCATGTTTAGCCTGGAGAAGAGGAGGTTAAGGGGTGATATGATAGCCATGTTCAAATATATAAAAGGATGTCACATAGAGGAGGGAGAAAGGTTGTTTTCTGCTGCTCCAGAGAAGCGGACACGGAGCAATGGATCCAAACTACAAGAAAGAAGATTCCACCTAAACATTAGGAAGAACTTCCTGACAGTAAGAGCTGTTCGACAGTGGAATTTGCTGCCAAGGAGTGTGGTGGAGTCTCCTTCTTTGGAGGTCTTTAAGCAGAGGCTTGACAACCATATGTCAGGAGTGCTCTGATGGTGTTTCCTGCTTGGCAGGGGGTTGGACTCGATGGCCCTTGTGGTGTCTTCCAACTCTATGATTCTATGAACTGTTCTTAACCTGAAGCACCACTTTAGCTAATGGGGCCTCCTGCTGCCGCTGCGCCGCCGTTGCACAATTTCTGTTCTCATCCTGAAGCAAAGTTCTTAACCCAAGGTACTATTTCTGGGTTAGTGGAGTCTATAACCTGAAGCGTATGTAACCCAAGGTACCACTGTAAAAAAGAAGCCACAAAAGGAGTGAGGGGAAGTAAAAACATATATTTTTGTGAGAAATATTGCATTGTATTTAAAATATTATGGAAAAACTGAATATAAATCATAGAGTTGGAAGGGACCACGAGGGACATCTAGTCCAACCCCATGCAAAGCAGGAATCTTTTGCCCAACATGGGGCTCAAACCCACAACCCTGAGAGTAAGAGTCTCATGCTTTACTAACTGAGCTATCCCAGGTCTCTGTGTGCATCGGAAGCTGTCTTACCTTGTGCCAGACATTAGGTCCATTTGGCAAGTCTGGCAGTGGTTTCCCAAGGTCTGTGACAGAGGTCTCTTTCCTAGCCTTGAACTAGAGATGCCGGAAACTGAGACCTTGTACAGGAAAGCATAACTTCCTTTGGGGGGTGGGGGAGGGCACAAACCATAGCTCAGGCCTAGTGGTCTCAGCAATTCCTAGGAGGTCTTTCCCCAATGCTGCAGTTGCGAGGACTCAAGGTGCCCCCCCTCCCACTCTACAGTTCCTCTTCTCCAGGGATTCCCCACACACAGTCTCAAAACTGTGTCTGCACACATCTAATCTCTGTTCTGCTCTTTTTGTTTCTCTGTCTGTTCTCGGAGACCAGGGGGGAACAGGAACTGGTTGGAGCAGGAGGGGGGACTCCCTGGATTCTTCAGCAGCCTCTTGAACCCCCCCCGCCCGCTTCTCTCCAGCCTCTGCTTCAGCTGCAGAGTCTGAACTGCACTCTGCCACAGACTCTTCCTGCTCACTAAACCCTGTTGCCCCTCCAGCTTCCGACACCTCTTCCTCCTCCCAGCCTACCCCTTCTTCTCCCTCTGACCACTCGTTGTCATCCTACCACCATTCCCCAGCCCTGGGCCTTCTTCCCCTGGAGGTTCCTTTGGGGGTTCCCTAGCTGGTGCCTCCCACTCCTCTGCATCCAGCCAGTCCATGACAACATCTCAGCATGTAACCTTGGGTGGGGGAACACCAGAACTCCAATCTTAACTCACCCACGGACGTCTTGGGTGGTCTTAGGCTAAGCCCCGTCACTTAAGCTGCACCCTTAATCTCTGAGCTCTGCAACAATAATAAAGTCCTACCTCATAGGGCTGCTAGGAGAATGACTAAGATAAGGACTGCAAATCGTTTTTGCTCTCCAAAAGATGAACAAAATAGCTTTTTATCTTGTTGACACCCCTGTCATCAGGCAAGGCTTTTCCAGAGGGGGAAATAATAACTGTAGAGATTTCCAGGGATCATTCACTCCATCAATGCAGATTGGTTTCTGGGAATCAACCATTATTTTTGGAGAGGGCAAAAGTGTTCCATGGTTAAAGTAAATAATAGAAAACACACCCTCAGGTGTTGTTTTTTAAGCTTCTTCAACTAACTAGACTCGCCCTGCTCTGAAAGAGGAAGAACACTACCCTGTTATTGCCAAGTCCTCAAACTGAAACTCCGAGGATTGATGGCTTTGATTAATTCAGAGGGATCAACTCTGTACAAGAAAGGAGGAGTTTTGGCACAGGAGTGGAGAAGCATCTCTGAATGTTATAACCTGTAACTCACGCTTGCTGTTTCTCTAACATGTGCTTTGTCAGGTATGGGGAAGACTTCCTTTTGGGTGCCAAAAGGATTACTGGTACGACTAACATTTAAAAAAGAAAGAAGACGGCTTGAAGTAGACAACCATCAGGGTAGAAATCACATTTCAGCCGTGCAGCCGCCAGAATTTTCAGTGAGTCTGAGCTTCCTGCAAACTGCTGCCTCTTTTGATTGCTGGAATCAGAAGTGTAAAGAGACAGAGATTTCCATTCCATCCTGCATTTGTCACAATCAGCTCTGTTTCTGTTCTGCTGGAGTTCGGCTTCTGCTAAAACCTACATCCATCGTCTTGTTGTCTGCTATGGCCAAAACAAACACAATTAATTGCACAGTTAAATGCACAATCAATTTCAATGCATTTCAGTGGGAGGGAAATGTCAAAAACAAGGCAGAAAGTAACGCATATGTGTAATGTTTGCAAACTAAAATAAAAAAACAATGATAATGAATACTGCCTGACTAAAAGAAGGCAAGAACGATTCCTGCCAAATCTCTAGTGGCAGGGAGTTCCACAGGGCAGGTTCTGCCACACCAAAGGCTTGGTCCCTAGTAAAGGCTAGCTGACTCTCAGGAGCATGAGAAACCACCAGAAGTGACTCCAACTCCAGGTAATGAGCAACATTCATTGCAACCCTCTCTTTCCCCTGCTTTTTTCACTCATCCTTTGCCAATTGCCTTCCTTGTCTTTCCAGGGCCCTGATTTGCCTTTCCCAACCTCACCTGCTTTGCTCCTTATACAAACCCATGCTACATAATCTTGTTGGAAGTTCAACAACAGAGATCATCCCATGTGTGACTTAAGGGTTAATTCTGTTGTCTGCAATCCAGTTAACCAAAGGCTGGAGGTGTTGCTTAGCAGCCAAACAGTAGCATGATCCTCACTGAGGTGGAATGCGCTCTGGTTAGCTGTACAGTTCTGAGGGAGTTTTCCCTCTGTATGTGCTAATTGAATGTCTCCCTGATATGTACAAGACCTGACCTAAGAAAGACAAAACCTCTGTGTCCCTTTCTTGTTAGATTATAGGCTGTTTGTGTTCAGTTTTGCTCAGTAAAGTGTTATCCGGACTTTTCTTAAATTATGCTTGCAATAATTAAGTGATTTTGCTGGCAAATCTAACCTCTCACCGGTTTGGGAATGGAGGCAGGGGCGTAATCTGGTTTGACAGGACCTTGCACTGTGGTTAACATAGGTGGAATTCCCTTGTTCATTTGGACAAAGGAGCAACTCTCCTGTCTTTCTGTTTGTTCTACTTGGCTAAACCTATTTTATGGAAGGAAAAATCCCATATACGTTTTTTAATGTACTGGCCTATTACATAACTGAAACGGAATTAAGGTGGAGTCGTTCCCCATTCCATTCTGGTTCCCCTCTCTAGGCAAGTATGAGCAGAGGCTGGAAGACTTAAGGAGATGGTCCAATTAGCACTTGGCTAACAAAACAAGCTCCCTTGCAAACATTTCACAATAGTTTACGTAATAATTGCCACTAACATCCATGTGGGACACGCAGCTCCCGCTTGTAGCTACTACCCCAAGTCCTCGATGAACAAACTTTCCATTCTTAAGCAAATATGGCTCAAAGCTACAACTTCCCATTCCTGCTTGCAGAAATTTCAGATTCAGAAAACGCAATGGATGTTGATGAGCCATTGTGAATAATGGGTCCCAGATTCAATGGTGGAGAGTTTTGTATCATTTATTCATCCATATATTTGTGAAGGTTCCTGGATGCTTTCTGGGAAGGATCCAGGAAGTTCTTTTTAAAAATGTTTGACATTTTATTATGTTTTTATGTGTTGGAAGTCGCACAGAGTGGCTGGGGCAACCCAACCAGACAGGTGGGAAATAAATAACAAAAGTGTTGTTGTTGCTGTTGTTGTTGTTGTTCCAGCTGACTTTCCTGAAGTGAGGCCAGAAAAAATATCAAATAAAAATAATTAAAATTGCAGCTGATTTTTAAAAAGGAATAAAAATAGAAAACATTCGCAGAACAAGCAAAAGCAGCAACAGCAAATGTAATGGTCTTCGCTTCTTTCTAGAATGCAATAAAAAAAGAAGCTGAATGAACAGGCTGTAAAAGTTGAGATGGATGGATCAGTCTATTAATTTATATTTTTTTTAAAAATGCGTAGAAATCCTTATTTAAATTTGTATTCTGTCCCACAATAAATATCTCAATAAGTAAGCCCTCTGTGTGAAATGGTGTTAATGAAACACACTCTGTTTATATTAAGTTAGGAGCTAGTCCTTTGCTGGTAGAATCATAGAATTGTAGAGTTGGAAGGGACCCTGAGGATCATCTAGTCCAACCCCCTGCAATGCAGGAATATGCAGCTGCCCCATGCAGGGATCAAACCTGCAACCTTGCCTTTATCAGCACCACGCTCTAACCAACTGAGCTATGCAGGAAATGATGTTCTTTGTCAGGCACATGGGGAAATCCCACTCCACCCCACCCCCAACTTCCAATGGCTGCACCGGGCCGCAATCGCAGCTTCCAGTGAGAACGGCAAGCAAGTTTTTAATTAACTGTTCTCCAGCATCACCATGTCATTGCCGCCTGTAAGGGCACACCAGCACTATGATGCAACAAAGGCAAGACCAACACACACCCCGAAACATTTGCGGAGTGAAAATTTACAGGATTTCTGTGGGAAGCAACAGGAGAAGCCTTGATTGGAAAAAGTACGTCTGCCCTGAAACCTTTGCAGGTGCCAGCAATATGGAAAGCCAGATCATTTAATAACACCAGTGTTTTTTTTCTGGGTGGGACGCAAGGGTACATATACTCCTAAACATTTTGTGAATCTAAGTTTGGCCTCATTGAGGGGGGGCAGTATTTCAATATGCCCCTCATGCATCACTGCCTTGCCATGGTGAAGGGGCTTGAATAACTCAGAGAAGCTATGAGCAATGCTGTGTAGGGCCACCCAAGATGGACAGGTCATAGTGGAGAGTTTTGACCAAACATGATCCACCTGGAGCAGGAACAGGCAAGAAGATCAAACTGATCCATTCTTAAGGAAATCAGCCCTGAGTGCCCACTGGAAGGACGGATCCTGAAGCTGAGGCTCCAATACTTTGGCCACCTCATGAGAAGAGAAGACTCCCTGGAAAAGACCCTGATGTTGGGAAAGATGGAGGGCACAAGGAGAAGGGGACGACAGAGGACAAGATGATTGGATAGTGTTCTCGAAGCTATGAACATGAGTTTGACCGAGCTGCGGGAGGCAGTGGAAGACAGGAGTGCCTGGCGTGCTCTGGTCCAGGGGGTCACGAAGAGTCGGTCACGACTAAATGACTAAACAACAACAATTTCAATATGAGTAGGAAAATGAGAGTACCCCAAACACTTTTTAGGAGGGAAAAGCACTGAATAACACTATTCCCAGCCCCAACATTTCTCCAATAGAAATAAGGATATCCTATTCCATACCGTCCAACATTTCTCCAATGAAAATAGGGACGGCCTAAGGAAAAGCGGGAGATTCCGGGATCAGATCAGAAACAGAGGCAGTTTCTGTAAATCTGGGGCTGTCCCTGGGAAATAGGGGCACATGGAGGGTCTGCTATCATGAGCTAAAATCACCTTGACTACACAATGAAAAGGGCGTCTGGAGGGGCCCTTAGTGAGGTTGACAGGTGTGGCTTCCCCCAAAGAATTCTGGGAGCTCTAGTTAGTGAATGGTGTTGGGAGTTGCTAGGAGAGCCTTATTCCCCTCACAGAACTACAGCTCCCATTTGGGGGAAGCCATGCCTGTTTAAAGTAGTGCCGTAGTACTTCAAATGTATGGCATGGATGTGGCCTAATGTGCCAATGCAGTGGGTTCTTGCCAGTGGGCCCCTACTGGGCTGTGGCCCTTAGCAAATGCCCAACTCTGCAACAGCAGACTTAAGCAGTATATAGTGGTACCTTGGGTTAAGTACTTAATTCATTCTGGAGGTCCGTTCTTAACCTGAAACTGTTCTTAACCTGAAGCACCACTTTAGCTAATGGGGCCTCCTGCTGCCGCCACTGCACGATTTCTGTTCTCATCCTGAAGCAAAGTTCTTAACCCGAGGTACTATTTCTGGGTTAGCGGAGTCTGTAACCTGAAGCGTATGTAACCCGAGGTACAACTGTACCTGAAAGAGCATCTCCACCCCCATCGTTCAGCTGAGGTCCAGCTCCAAGGGCCTTCTGGCGGTTCCCTCACTGCAAGAAACGAAGTTACAGGGAACCTTCTCAGTGGTGGCGCCCGCCCTGTGAAATGCCCTCCCATCAGATGTCAAGGAAATAAACAACTATCTGACTTTTAGAAGACATCTGAAGGCAGCCCTGTTTAGGGAAGTTTTTAATGTTTGATGTTTTATTCTGTTTAATATTCTGTTGGAAGCCAGTCAGAGTGGCTGGGGAAACCCAGCCAGATGAGGGGGGGGGATAAATAAATGCTGGTGATGATGATGATATGATCCTGGATCTCAGACCCTCCTGAAGCAAAAGCAATTAAAGAGGGCCATTTGGGTTTATTTTGCAAAATATCCCTAGATAACAGTCAAGCGTTCTGAGGCACTGCAATCATGATGGATCTTAGACAAAGGGGCACAAGGCAAGAAGCGAAGGGGAGGAAATCCTTGTTTCTTTTGCTGTAAGCAACACCATTTCCATGCCCTTTGTACCCTGCATCTCAACACGAAACAATACAGCGGAGTTAAGCAGTTTTGCCTCCATCCTACCAAACACGTCACGCAGCTAAAGGGGCAGCTTGGTTTTTCCCTACATCAGCAAGGAAGCGATTTATTTGCTGTAGGTACATCCGCCTTGGGCTCTCCCACCCTAACCCAGACACTCCCCGGTGCTCTTTTGTTTATGCAAAACGAGAGCTGGGGACATGACGGGTCAAAACCAACGTTGAGAGTCGGAAATCTGTGTTTGCAAATATCTGCCGCTGCAAGTTCCAGGGAGGTGGTGCATCTAAGGCCTTTTCTCTATAGACATTGAAGGTTTTGCCTACAGAGGGTGTGTGTGGAAACCTGTCTTTGTGTGCGGCTTGAACGTAGCATTACAAAGGTACAAATCCAAACTGCTGCTCTGCCCGCATTTTGCCCCAGGCCCCACCCACCAGTGGCCTCCGCCGTTCCAGAGGCTTACCCACAAACGGATGTGGAAAGATGGAGAACTGAACTTGGCATTGGAGACGCAAGAAACTCAGATAAAGCAAAACTGACAAGTTCACTCATGCCTGCGTTGTTTCCGAGGGTCACCCAATCCTCTGGGAAATGTTTTCAGGAGTCGCAGTTGCGAGGGTGAGTGGGCAAATATAACCTCCCCGCTCCTTTCTTTAGTTAGTGAGACCTTCCACAACCTTCTCCTGTATAAAGAAGGGGAACCACAGGAAACAGCCCGCCGGTCTTCTGCATGCCATGTCAATGTCAGCAACTATATGTGAGGCAGGAAGTGACATCATGTTCCTTGCAAGCCTATGTGAGATGGAGGTCTTTTTCTGAATGATCTGCCTACTGAACATTCATCCTCATTTGTCTGAACGGAGGTTAGACGGTGCTGCTGCTGAGCATCCATTCTGATTTGTTTGTGGGGAGGTCAGATGGCGCCCGCTTCAAGCAAATGTGATCCCATGCTTTTCCATGCATTTTCCTTCATGCAAAATGCCCATTCAGGGGAAAGGAAGAAGGTCTGTTGCTCAAGGGCACCAAATCAACGAGAGCTCAATTGGTAGAGCATGAGAATCTTAATTTTAGGGTCACGGGTTCAAGCCTTATGTTGGGCCAAAGATTCCTGCATTGCAGGGGGTTGGACTAGATGACCCATTCGGTCCCTTCCAACTCTACAATTTGATGAATTTTACAACCTGGCACGTGGGTGAATCCTACTGGAAAATAGAAACAGCCAGGAAGTGCCCTGAGCTTCCTAGAACCAACACAGGGGTGGCTACCAGCTTAGCTCATGAACATGACATTTGAGCTTCAGCCAATGCTGCTTATTAGGGGATTGGTTTAGAAAACCGTGAAGGGGTTTTGTTGATTAGATTCTGTACAAATCCTATATACAGTGGTACCTCTGGTTGCAAGCGGGATCCGTTCCGGAGGCCCATTTGCAACATGAAAAGAACGCAACCTGCAGCGGCGCAGCGGCGCATGTGCGGGTTGCGATTCGCCGCTTCTGTGCATGCATGTGACGTCAGTTTGTGTGTCTGTGCATGCGCGAGCAGCGAAACCCAGAAGTAACCCTTTCTGGTGCTGCCAGGTCACCGTGGGACGTAACCTGAAAGAACGTAACATGAAGCGGACATAACGTGAGGTATGACTGTATAACAAAAAAAAAATGATTGTGGCTGATAGTTTAACAAAATCTCCAGGTTCCATAAGGACATAGGAAGAGCCTGCAGGATGAGGCCAATGGCCCTGCACCCTGTTCTCACAGGGACCACCCAGATGCCTGTGGGAAACCTGCAAGCAGAACCAGGGCACAAGAGCTCCCTCCTCTCCAGACGTATGGCCTTCTCGGTAGTGGCACCCACCCTGTGGAACACCCTCCCATCAGATGTCAAAGAGATAAACAACTACCAGACTTTTAGAAGACATCTGAAGGCAGCCCTGTACAGTGGTACCTCGGGTTACAGACGCTTCAGGTTACAGACGCCGCTGACCCAGAAATAGTACCTCGGGTTAAGAACTTTGCTTCAGGATGAGAACAGAAATCATGCGGTGGCAGCGCGAGGCCCCATTAGCCAAAGTGGTACCTCAGGTTAAGAACAGTTTCAGGTTAAGTACGGACCTCCAGAACGAATTAAGTTCTTAACCCGAGGTACCACTTTATAGGAAAGCTTTTCAATGTTTAATGTTTTATTGTGTTTTTTATATATGCTGGAAGCCGCCCAGAGTGGCTGGGGCAACCCAGTCAAATGTAAAAATAATTAAGTTGTTGTTGTTGTTGTTATAGCACTCATTCACATAAAGGGAACCCTGACCATTAGGTCCAGTCGTGGCCGACTCTGGGGTTGCAGCGCTCATCTCGCTTTACAGTCCAAGGGAGGCAGTGTACAGCTTCTGGGTCATGTTGCCAGCATGACTAAGCTGCTTCTGGCGAGCCAGAGCAGCGCATGGAAATGCCGTTTACCTTCCCGCCGGAGCGGTACCTATTTATCTACTTGCACTTTGACGTGCTTTCAAACTGCTAGGTTGGCAGGAGCTGGAACAGAGCAACGGGAGATCACCCCGTCGTGGGGATTTGAACCACCGACCTTCTGATCGGCAAGTCCTAGGCTCTGTGGTTTAACCCACAGCGCCACCCGCGTTAAACCATGGCACTCACTCCCACCAACTAGGAGAGCTTTAAAAGAGGGTTGGACAAAATGAATGGAGATAAAGGCTGCCAATGGCTACCAGCCATGATGGCTGTGCTCAG